ACTAATATGGGTATTGTGGAAACATTTGATATTTTTGGTTAGTGAGAGTTATTTATGTAAAGAACTACGTTTTGGGCTTGATCTTTTTGCGGGGTACGTAGGGTACAGCCTCTTCTGATAATAAAATATTTTTTCCTTATCCATGAACTATTTTGAGCATGAATTTGACTTATGTCTTTTCATTATATTACTGCGATCTCGAGATATGACATATAAAAACATAAGATGAATCTCTTTTGGAGACATGTGGCTTCATTTTGATCCGAGGCATTATGAGAACCGATATGAATTAGCACAGTTTTTTTTATCACATTTGGTGCTTAGTTCATACCACATACTACCACATTGGTTGGAGGATGGAGATCCATGTCAATAAGAATGTTGACATTTGTAGCTGTGGAATAGTCTTACATCGCTTAATTGGTGTAATGACTTCCATGTTCGGCGTTAATATTCTTGTTGGATCGGATCATGTTACGTAAGATGTCATCATTTGAGCTATACTTTTGTGGTCACCTATATAGTCTAATCCGAGTGTTAAAACTTTGTTACAGCAATCAAATGTTTGCCCAAACGAAAGAATGTTGGAATAATTTCATATGTGGACTTCACATTCGATTGCAAATTTTACGGGTTAAATGTATGGCTCACAATGACATTATGATTATGCCAATATGTTAAGTGATTAATTTCGACCGTTTTACACCTTTCGGGTTTTATTTGATATAATGTGGTAATTTCAAATATGTGGGCCGGAATTATGCGTAAACCCTAATTAGGGTTTAAGTCAATAATGGGACGACCAAATAAATTTCTATATAGATGCTATGTCTTCTCTCCTCTTCATATGTTTTATTAGCTTGCCCCATTGATAGCTAATACTTTGTGAAGAGCAATGAAGAGAATATCTGGCTGCCATTACAACTATCGTTCATATTAATAATGGCTTCTGCAGGTATGAATTCATTTTATTAATTAATTATTTGGTGATTCTTGATTCTTAACATGATTGAAAATTTAATTTCAACACTAATTTGTACCTTTTGATTTAATAAATTTGTTTTTGTCATCATGTGGACGAAGGTTTAGAGTCAAACCAAGCAATTTTAATTTTTTATTTACTGTTCTTTAATTCATATTAATCGAGAACTCTGCTATAAAAAGAGAGCTCTAAACTCCTATGTAAGGAGCCACTTTTGTTATTTGTTCTATCCCATCTCGCAAGGTAGTAGATAATATCTTTCGAATGTGCTTTGATGACATCTAATGTAAATTGATCCGTTAAGAAACCTGTATCTCAGCTCGACTGGTCCAGTCCGACCTTACAAACAACGCGATACAGAATGTTAAAATGATATTATGAGTTCTCTCCTCATTGACAAGGAAAAAAAATTATTACAGAAGTTGAACAAACAAATAGGAACAGGACTCAGAGTTTCAACTTAAGCTATTAAACCATGGAGATACTGATAATCTAGTTCTTGGGTGCAAGGCCCGCCTTGAGCTTCTGAATGGTGACGACGTCAGTTTTGAAAGAAAGTGCCAATACATTGTCATCAATGCTTGTGTTGAACAGAGTGTTGGGAAGGGAGACAGTTCCAGCATTTGAACTCCCAAAGGCAGAGATAGCCAAAGCAGGAACTTTTGCATCAGCATTGTACTGGAAATGGACTAGTCCCTTTGGGAACACAAAGAGGTCACCAGGCTGAAGAGTTTGAGTGAAGAGCTTGTTTGTTGTGTCCACAAATCCCACCTCGAGATTACCCTCAGCAAGGAAGAGGAGCTCAGCCGACCGTGGATGAGTGTGAACGGGGTTTACAGTACCAGCAGGGTAGAGGAGAACAGCATAGGAAACACTCTGGCCATTGAGGGCCGGGAATTCTGCCATGCTTGCTTTCAAGACTTTGAAAGCTGGGGGAGGTGGAGCCCCTACAAGGACTCTCATCCCTGTGAATGTAAAGAAGTTTCCATCGACTGTTGTCAAATTTGCTGGCAAGACAAAGTCCGTGAGGATATCGGGATCTCCAGCCATAGTCATTTGGACTATGGCCATTGAAGCCACTGCTAGGAAGAATAGATTTCTGCTATAAGCCATCGGTACAATTGTAATCTATGGATAGAGCTATGAATTTGATACAATTTTGTCGAAGCTAAGCCTTATTATAGGAGTTTGAGCTGAAAATATTGTGATAAGGGCTAAGTGGACGTACATTCCGAAGCCCTGCTGAGTAGATGACAGGCATTAAACTACCAAATGACTTTCTTGTAATTGGAGTTGTTTTATAGTACTATTAGGCTAATGAAGTTTCTTAGAATATCTTCATGGTATAAAAGGTTTAATTTGTTTCTTTTCCTTGCAAATATTTCACCATCTTGGATGCAAATGAATGTTGATTTTCGGTCCGAATATGCTATTGGCCGCAATTTTATTAATTTTGTATCTAACAATGTTGCAGTTTGTTGTTGAAACTACAAACAATAATCTTGGATTGTGGTGGGAGCTTGTGCAGGCTTGATTTTTAGGAAAATTATACCCAATTTTCATCATAGCATGAAAGCCAAAAATGTGTAATTTAATTAAAGGCTCCAAGGCAATGAAAGTATATGGACTAGAGAGGGA